CCTCCGCTCCGCGGCCCGCGGGCCGGGCCCGGCCCGGGACTGACCTGTTTGGCGAACACGGCGATGTCCTCGCTGAAGGAGTCGGAGGAGCAGACGTCTCCGCCGGGGTACGAGCCCGCGGGGTCCCGGGGCGAACAGGTCGCCAGCTCACACTTCTCGAAGACCAGGGCCAGCAAGGGGAACAAGGGGTGTCTGCGCACACGTCTTGCACGCGTGTGCACAAGAGCCAGGCCATCCGTGCAGAGGCATGCACGAGTCCATGCACACGAGGGCTTGCCCACCCCTCGGGCAACAAACACACACAGTGCCCGATACACACACACCCTGCACCCCTCTGTACAAATAGGAACACACACACACACAGTGCCCGATACACACACACCCTGCACCCCTCTGTACAAATTGGAACACACACACACACAGTGCCCGAAAAACACACACCCTGCACCCCTCTGTACAAATAGGAACACACACACACAGAGTGCCCGATACACACACACCCTGCACCCCTCTGTACAAATAGGAACACACACACACAGAGTGCCCGATACACACACACCCTGCACCCCTCTGTACAAATAGGAACACACACACACAGAGTGCCCGATACACACACACCCTGCACCCCTCTGTACAAATAGGAACACACACACACAGAGTGCCCGATACACACACACCCTGCACCCCTCTGTACAAATAGGAACACACACACACAGAGTGCCCGATACACACACACCCTGCACCCCTCTGTACAAATAGGAACACACACACACAGAGTGCCCGATACACACACACCCTGCACCCCTCTGTACAAATAGGAACACACACACACAGAGTGCCCGATACACACACACCCTGCACCCCTCTGTACAAATAGGAACACACACACACAGAGTGCCCGATACACACACACCCTGCACCCCTCTGTACAAATAGGAACACACACACACAGAGTGCCCGATACACACACACCCTGCACCCCTCTGTACAAATAGGAACACACACACACAGAGTGCCCGATACACACACACCCTGCACCCCTCTGTACAAATAGGAACACACACACACAGAGTGCCCGATACACACACACCCTGCACCCCTCTGTACAAATAGGAACACACACACACAGAGTGCCCGATACACACACACCCTGCACCCCTCTGTACAAATAGGAACACACACACACAGAGTGCCCGATACACACACACCCTGCACCCCTCTGTACAAATAGGAACACACACACACAGAGTGCCCGATACACACACACCCTGCACCCCTCTGTACAAATAGGAACACACACACACAGAGTGCCCGATACACACACACCCTGCACCCCTCTGTACAAATAGGAACACACACACACAGAGTGCCCGATACACACACACCCTGCACCCCTCTGTACAAATAGGAACACACACACACAGAGTGCCCGATACACACACACCCTGCACCCCTCTGTACAAATAGGAACACACACACACAGAGTGCCCGATACACACACACCCTGCACCCCTCTGTACAAATAGGAACACACACACACAGAGTGCCCGATACACACACACCCTGCACCCCTCTGTACAAATAGGAACACACACACACAGAGTGCCCGATACACACACACCCTGCACCCCTCTGTACAAATAGGAACACACACACACAGAGTGCCCGATACACACACACCCTGCACCCCTCTGTACAAATAGGAACACACACACACAGAGTGCCCGATACACACACACCCTGCACCCCTCTGTACAAATAGGAACACACACACACAGAGTGCCCGATACACACACACCCTGCACCCCTCTGTACAAATAGGAACACACACACACAGAGTGCCCGATACACACACACCCTGCACCCCTCTGTACAAATAGGAACAGAATCCGCGCAGGGCTGCAGGCGGTGCGCGTGCCCAGGCTGGGAGGTCGGGGGTACACTCCGGGCGGGTACACGCTCGGGGTGTATCCTACACAGGACACAGCGTTAGACGTGTGGGTAATCCACAGGGTGTGCTACACACCCACCCGGGAGAGCAGGGTCAGTGTGCGCGCGCAGCGCGGGTAATACGCGTCCACATCGGCAGAGCCGGGACATAGCAGGGCCGGGTTCCCGGCCAGTTTTGACAAGTGTGTCGGGAGAATCACGCCGCGCCAAGGCGTCTGCGGACACAGCTCTGGGAAGCGTCGTGGCCGGTTTTAAGCTTTGGCATTGGAAGGGGGAAGGGAAGGAAAAGTTGACGCGTAAAGTTGTTGGAAAGCGCAAAATCAAAAGGTTTTGGTCTGAA